TGATGGAGCAGGAGATGCCAATACCAAAGCCTTCAAAGGAGAGGCTGAACTTTTCTGAGAAATTCAAGAAAACTTTTAGCACATAGAAAGTTATGCTTGTGAGTAAACAGAATTCAATTACCTTTCTCCTGACGATGAGAGGAGAGTCATCATCATGATCATCCTCTAAAATAGGAGATACTGAAGCTGGCCATTTGCGGGTTAGGGCACTCTTAGCTGCAGTAGGTTTGGCAGGTAGAGAAGTAGAGGGACGAACAGATTGTTTAGCACGAGCAGGGGAGGAATGATTCCTAATGGACACAGGGGTGACCAAAATAGGAGAAGTGGAAGAAATGTTTGGCTGATCCAGTGAATGGAAAGCACGATTGGCATCAATTGCAAATAATCTGTGCTTCACTAATGGCCAGAGTTGTTCAAAAAGGGGGTGAATGACACAGCTAGGATAGAAGGGGGCTAATGAAAAGTTACTCGTCAAAAGAATATTGTGAGCATCTATAGCTTGTGCCTCTGCCTTATTAATGGTGTGAAAGCGATCTATTAAATTTTTTGAATAACAAGGAGAAACAGGCCAAGTTTGGCCAAAACCAAATTGGTGAGCAAAAAATTAGGGAGCATATATTTCAACCCCAATTTTGGCATTGGTTCCAGTTAAAATATCATGGAACAACTCCCTCCCAGTCAAAAACTGAACCCAAACGAGCAGAGAGGCGCTCGCACTGTCCAGGGTGGATGGAGTATGCACATAATCTGGAGTTAAATGAGCAGAAAAGGAAAAGAATGAAGGAATTGAATTTAAAGTATAAAAGAATGAAAAAATATCCCTTCTGGACATATTTACAAGGCTCAATGGGTCAATGGCTAGCCCATAGCAACTAGCAAAACGAAGGGACATGGATAGAGCACCAAGTGATGGAAAATAGGCTCTCAATCACAGTTGAGTGAACCAAAGAGGCCCACTACCAGTGGGAGATGCACCATTCTTCAATTGAAATTGAAGAGAAGCCATGCCTCTATAGAGGGCAGCCAAAAAGAAGAACACAAATTCAAAGGCCTACCACGCGCCAATTCGTGCGCTATGGGTAAATAACTCATAGAAGGCTTCATACTGGACACACATAGAATATATTTACAAAGCCAAATCTGAAGAAAGGCCACACGCTCAGTGTGGGAAGGCTCAGCGTTTGAGTGATTATAGCAGCCTTGCAAGCTTGAATAAGACTCGGTGAGTTTTTTGTCAAATTTTGGGGCAACACCAGAAATCAAAATACCAGGGAAAATGGTGTCGCCCAAATGTGGAAGATTTATTAGGGCCCCAACATCCCTTAAAGTAATAGACATGGGACCAAGAGGGAAAACAAAAATATTATATTTAGAAGACCAAAAACTTAAAGCAATAGGAAAAAGTGTTGGGTCAAAAATTGAGAGTTGAAGAGAAATTTCTAATAAATCAGAAATCCTAACATGATAAAAAATTGCCTTGGTAGGACCATGGCCCACAAGACGAGCATGCCATCTAAGGAAAATAACATCAGATTTAGGCCAAGTGTGAATACTTTTTTGCGAATCGACCTCAACGGCAAAGAGTTCAGGAATGGAAGACCTTGAGTACAAGGGAACAGCTGGCCCACTGCCACTTGTTCGACGACTTCGGCGTTGTTGAATGAAGGACCCAGATAAAACTCATTAAGTTCGGCATTGGCTGGTGCAAGGAAGTTCGGATTTACATATGGCCGAGTGAGGATTTTCTAGAAATTTTCGAAGCTAAAAGAGTCGTCAGATTGGGTTTGTGGAGCCAACATTGGGAATGAAATACAGTTTTGTTAAAGTTTGCTTGAGAAACGTAGCAGGAAAGTGATAAGTGTGTTTTTACACACTTATTTAGCACTTTTTGGGACTTTATTATTGATAAAATTGAGTATATTTCTATTTATAATTGTGTAATTGTTACTTTTGTAGACTAAAACCCCAAAAAGAAGTATAACGAGCGAAAAGTGAAGGAAAAGGACTTGAAGTGTAATTATGGAAGGGCCTAAATGTAATAAAAGTCAAATTTTGAGGACCAAATTGCACTAAATGAAAGTTGAAGGACCTGATCTGCAATTTCGAGATTTTTTGGTCAACATTTTTATTATTTTATTCTTATTTTATTCTAGATATTTTTAGGATATTTATGTTGTGTCTAATAATATCTT